GGGGGAACTAATCAAGGAGAGAAGCAACTTAGAATTGAGGAAATTTCCTGACAGTTAGAACAATTAATCAATGGAACAGCTTGACTCCAGAAGTTGTGAATGCCCCAACACTGGAAGTCTTTAAGAAGATGTTGGATAGCCATCTGTCTGAAACGGTATAGGGTTTCCTGCCTAGGCAGGGGGTTGGGCTAGAAGACTTCCAATGTCCCTTCCAACTCTGCTATTGTATTGTATAACAAGAGTGACACACAGAGTAAAAGTAACAGACAGTTAAAAAAGGGGTCCTGGATTTCCACAAGGAGGATAAATACGGTAATCATTATTGAAAACCCTGTATCTGAAATCCCAATAATATATATTGTGCATTTAATTTTCTTTGAGATGCTCTCTAAACCAGTTTGCAGTACTTAGAGAGCCTTATTTTACCATTTATTAAATAACATTTTGTTCTCAAAATGGGGCATGTCATTACTTAATTGCTCAGTATTCCTTCAGTACTCTGATTACATTCAGGACCATATCCTTGAACAAAAGAACCTCCTAAATTCCAATAGTCATCCTCCTTCAAGTCATTTACCCAATTTCAATTATATTTTGCAGCAACAGAGTTGGAAGCAACAGTTTTGTTTTGCAGTTCTAACATTTTATAGCAACAATCAAAACAAGTCAGTCTTTATTAGTCATTATAAGTTCAAAATAAATACAGTTTTCAATATATAAATGTTGTACAACTCAAGGAATTCTAGGTTCACATAACCTAGATGGAGCTTTTATGTCATTCCAGTAAAAATTAACTTTAATTTATAAAATTTGTTCTCTGAAATATATATGCAGATAGTCCTTGTTTATTGACAGAAACTGAGACTGGGAATGCAGTCATAAGGCACAACATTATGTGACTTTGCAACAAACAAAATCAATGGGAAAGCTGACAGGAATTAACAAAATGTTGATCATGTGTCTATGTGATGCTGCAATGTGATTGCAACAGAGGGGGTATTCAGCAGGTTCTGACCAGTTCTGAAGAACCGGTAGCAGAAAATTTGAGTAGTTTGGAGAACCAGTAAATACTACCTCAGATTGGCCCCACCCCATCTATTCTCTGCCTCCTTAGTCCCAGCTGATCGGGGGGGATGGGGATTTTGCAGTAATCTTCCCCTGGAGTGGGGTGAGAATGGATATTTTATAGTAACGTTCCCCTGCCACACCCACTAAGCCACAACATGCCCACCAAGCCATGCCCACTAACCACTCCCACAGAACCAGTAGTAAAAAAATTTGAATCCCACCACTGGATTGCAAACAGATTGTCACATGCCCAAATTGCAATCAGATGACTACAAGGATACTACAGTAGTCACAGCTACAAGGACCCATCAAAAATACCTCTCAGGATTGTATGAATAAGTTTGAATGGTTGCCAGATGAGTGATCATTCAACAAGGGCTATCTGTTCATTTATTTCCATCTAAATAGTACCATAAAAATCAAGCTGGTTCTGTTACACAGACACTATAGGTAACCCACACAAAATCAATGAATAAAATTATAAGATATTGTTATAATTATAGTTAATAGTCTTGAACAAGACTTACGCTTTCTTTCCACAGATGGCTCCCTGGTACCAGTTCCTGCATGTGCTGAAATATTTCTTATGGGTTCCCATAACTTGCTGGAGAGCACAGACATTTGGCCTGGAAGAAAGAGAAAAGGGTCTATGTGATACATTCCTTTACAACTTGAATGTTTACTTACCGGTACTTGCAATATTTATATATTGCCTTTATGGTTGTGAAAGTTAGACCTTTAAAAAGCAAGAGGGGAAGAAAAATCAACTTATTTGAGGTGTGGTGCTGGAGAAAGCTCTGCATATTCCTTGGACAGTTAAGGTGACCAGCAAGCAATGGCAGAGTCCTTCAAATATGCATTTCTCATAAATATTTCTATGTACAAGTTGAATAGTATAGGTAACAGGACGCAACCTCACTGAGTGCTTTTTCCAATTCCGAACCATTTTGTGTCTTCATATTCCATTCTTATAGTGGCTGCCTAATCAAAGTACAATGACTGAATGAGCTGGATTTGGTGTGGTGATATTGCCAGTTCTTTGAGGCAGTTTCAAGGCTTGTCATGGTCAACATATTTGTAAGCTTTTGTGTAGTCAATGAAGAACATATAGAAGTCTTTATGGTATTTCTCTACTTTTCCCCTCATCCAACGCAGATTGGCAATATGATCACACATTCCTCTCCCTTTCCAAAATCCTGCTTGTAGATCAGGCAGTTCTCTGTTGGCAGTTGGATTCAAGCATGACTGGATGATCTTCAAAATAATTTTACTCACTCACATGTGATATCAAGGCTATGGTTTAGTGGTTGGAAACCGTCTTACATATCACTTTTCTTTGGTATTGGAATAAATATCAACCTTTTCCATTCTTTTGGCCACTGACCAGACTTCCACATACTTTGGCAAAGTGCTGTCAGTGCTTTTGTTGGCAGTGGTCTCAGCAATTCAGCAACTTTGTGGTTAGGCAACTGGTTGAGTGCCCACACTACTTCCTCCTCCAGGATACCTGGTTCCATTTCTGGTAGGTCAGCTTCTCTTCTTACGGCTTGGCCTTGTTTTCGTTTATGTAAAGATGTTCTACATAGTCATCTTTGTCTGAATGCTTGTTGGTCATGCAATTCCTGCCAATCATGTCCTCTGACCATAGCCTTTCCTACCATAAAGGGGTTTCTGGCCCTTTTTACATAAATGAAACTCTCTCTTGTATGACCTCTCATGGCTCCTTCCTCCATTTTTTTTACATTGCTCAACCCAGTACTTTTCTTTATATTTTCTTGCCTCTCTCTGGAACTTTGCATTTAGTTTTCTCATTACTATTGTAGCTTCTGATATCCATTTGGCCACTTTCATCGGTTTCTTGTATGTAATATATTTTTGGGCTACTTCAATAACAATTGTTTTTTATTTCTTCACATAACTTATTTGATTGTCTTTCTGTGATGTTAAGCAATTGAAATCTGTTCTTAACTTCAGTTACACATGCCAGGGGAATCTTCTTGACATAAAATTTCTGAATTTGTGGTCGTTTGAGTTCATGGTGGGACCCACAATCTGCACCAGGGAACATTTTCATGATAAGATGAAACGTTTCCACTTCTAATGGCAAAATACATAGTCAAAATAGTTTCAATGCTCTCCATTTGCTAAAATCCAAGTGTATAGTTGCCACTTGGATTGTCCCCCTCACCAAAAACTCCCACTTGTCTCTGCAAAGTTCATTATCCTTAGCTGATGTTCATGACATAGCTGAATAAGATGCTCTCCTGCCTCTTTTGTTTTTACAAGTTTTATTACATTTTTTTCTTTTTTCCAACACACATACTTTATGGACAGAGTGTTTACCAGGTGACATCTTATACATCACATTCATAATCATAGTTGCAATGTATTCTAATCTTCCCACTCTTATCAATATTCATCTCTTTTATATAATCCTTTGTCTTTTTCCATCAATTCATTTACTCTTACTTTGCTAAACACCTTTTTTGTCTTCAATTAATCACTGTTAATTCATCTTAACAAATAAATTATCGCAATATCTTTGCTATTCCCACTTCAGCAATATTAGTCTCTTTACATAGTTGTTTAACATTTCTTATTCAATTTTTACACATAGTTAACATCACTGTATGTCCTGTATTTCTTCTTCTTTTTTTACAGTTTTCCAGTTGTTTACCCTATTTCTTCTTCCCAAAAAATATCTCACAAATTCCCCTTCCCCAATCATTAATATTTTAAATTCCCAATATTAGATTACATTCAAAATTAATATTATTAAATTGTCTACTTTCACATTCCCATCCACTCATCTACCTTATTATATATATTTACTAATATTTATCCTATTATTATGCCTCTCTTCTATTGAGCTTTTCTTGATAATCCATCATCTCTTACTCTTTTAAGGATCCCATTTTAAGGTGATTTTTTTAATCTGCCTTTTATCCCGCTCTCTTGAAGTCTTATTTCCCTTTTTTATTTTTGTATGTGTTGCGCTTTCTCTCCTTTATCCCTTTCATCTTTTTTAGTTGTATTATTTGTGCCCCCCTCACCAAAACTCCCACTTGTCTCTGCAAAATGTTTCCTTTTTTATCTCTTAAGTGGTTCTTTTTTGAGGAGGGTTTTATTTTCACCCCTCTCACCAAAACTTCCAGTTGTCTCTGCAAAATTGGTTCTCTTTTTATGTTTTAACTGCTTCTTTTGGGGGGAAGGCTTTCCCCCTTTCCTCTTTACTCTTTATACCTTTCTCTGAATTTGAAATTTTTTTTAGCATCAGAAATATTTCTGCATATATCTGAAACTCCATTTTATAACAATTTAAAAGGCTTTTACAACTGCCCCAATTATCTCTTTTCACAATTGACCCAAATTTAAAGTCTCTTAAGTTTCCTTGTTTTTCTTCTTTTCTTCAATTACTCCTCTTCTCTTCAAAGAAAGGTTGTTTTACTGAGTTAGTATAATCCAGTAGTAATCCAAGTCCAAAAATAGACAAATCCAGTTACAAATTACTTTCTTCAAATAGAACAGACAAGAAAAAAAAAAACCAAGAAAAAAACACACACAATCTTTAAATTTTCTCACAATTTTCAAATTGTCTTCTTCTGTATAGCCCAGGTCAGATCTTCCAGCTGCTGCTTCTCTTGTTGTGCCTATTAAAGTCTTAGTATATATTGCACTCACCAAGCCTGCTATGCTTTGAATATTATAGTACTTTTTTCCACCAGTAGATGCCACTCTGAATTTCTGTTCCATATAAGATAGTCTAAGAAATACGGCTGATTGTCAAAATATCCAGGGAGTTTAAAATACACATAAATAATGCTATTTTCTCCCGAAAATCATTTTTCTAGAATGTTTTACTTTCCCCAACGTTCCAAATGCAAGAATTCTTCTTGGGCTTTTTACTTTATAGTCTCAAATTCTCATTTTCTTTCCAAGTGCCAAATAGTCGCTTTTCTACGCTCCGGAATTTCTTTTAAAACTCCAATTTTCAAAGTTCCAAAGAGTTTCTTAAGTGAGAGTTGCAGTTATTTCACCCAGTTCAAGCACTCCGTCCAAGCACTGCTCCAGCTCAGTTCTTAGGCTCGGTTGTCCTAACTTTGAGATGACCATAGGAAAATTGGCACCGCCCCTGCTGCCATTTGGGAGAATTGTTTCTGATCTAGCAAGGAAATTGCCAATTCCTCATGGTCCACGAAAGCCTCTCCTTTCTTCACCGTCCCTACAAGACAGTTATGGTCCAAAGGCCTCCTGGCAGCAGGTACTGGCTGAATTCTGCGGGGTTCTGTAAATTCTCCTGCCTCATTTGTTCAGCAAGGCCAAACTTGCTTATGATTTCTTCCATTTCTCCCACTTTTGCATTTAAATTTGCAATAATATAGAGAATGTCTTTTTTTGCTGTTTGTTTCAAAATTTCCTGAATTTCAGCGTAGAATTCTTTGATATTCTCTACTGCTGTGTTTGGAGTGGGAGTGTAAACTTGTCATGTTGTGAGATTTTCTGTTGATATGTCCTATCACTGACCGTTCAAAAACTTTCTATGGTTCTGCCAATTTTTTATGCAGTACAGTATGAAACTCATTCCTCTTCTTCTGATGGTATCATTGTCCAAGTAGCATACCATATGACCATCACAGTTGATGAAGCCACAGCCAATCCAATGAACTTCACTGACACCTAGTATATCAATGTTGAGTCTATTCATTTTGTTCTTAACAATGTTTAGCTTTTCTAGATTTAAGTCATTGACTGTCAGCCTCTGCTACACTTGCTTACCAGCTGCCATAGGAACAGGGAGGGTGGGGGCATGGTATTGGGGAAGGAAATTATATTCTACTGGAGGAGTCTTGTTCTCACCATCTTCTGCACATGCTGGTGGCTGATGTTTGGACTTGGTCAAGGCCAACCGTCTTGCATACCAACTTCATGAGGCTGTTTGAAGATGCACCCCACATGACACCTTCAGGAGTTGCAGATTGGACACTGGTTGGGGAATTGGGGGGAGGGTGCTGGGTAAACGTTTGATATGCATATGTTCCCACCTTTCTGGCTCAGATCTTGCTTTCCTTTTGCTGTTTTCACTTCATATCTAGTAAAAGTACTTTATCTATATTCAAATGGAGTTGAGGCTTTTCTTTCTTGGATATTGAAGGAGGCATGCCTGACATTGACATTCCATTTTCCTAATTTGAAGAGCTTTGAACAGTGGAGAGATCTCTTTTCACTAGGAACTGTGTCAACAATTGAGGGGGGGATTAGGATTTACCCTATCTACATCCTGAATGATCCTGCTACTATAATCGTCTCTTTGCTCTTCCCCTGTAGCTTTATTGATTAGAAAACCATTTGTCTGAAGTGGTGTAGGATTTCCTGCCTAAGCAGGGGGGTGGACTAGAAGAATTCCAAGGTCCCTTCCAACTCTGTTATTCTATTCTATTATTAGTACCTCCCAGCCTGGGGAACTCACTGTTCTTTCATATTTTTGAGTTGATCCATAAAAATAATCATTGTACTGTTTTAACGGGGTCATCTTCAGAAAATTGTACACCATTTTACTATTATACAGTAATAATGCTGGCTCTAGGCAACACTGACTGAGGGTGCTCCTATACTGCTGATGAGAAGACTTACATTTTTAGAATGATTCAGAAGGAGGGCAGCATTGGCACCCTTGAAACTTTGGAATCTTAGACTATTGCATACTAGACCTTAGTGTAATGCCCATTCTTCATTGTACAATTTAAAATACAATAAAACATAAGCAAATAAAAGTATATTAAAATATTTCAGTTGTATTAAACAGAAACCAGGTATTTGATAGATACACCGTAGAGGCAGAAGTGTGAAAATAATAGTCCTGTATAATCAAAGAGCAATGTTAAAGTTTATCAAAGAACTGCTCCTCCTAGACCAATTAATATGAATTTGGCCTATGTCTAGCAACTAGAGGCATGCCTATACCAGCCTAAACTAGGCAATAGGAGCTCAATAGATCCCACCCTGGACTGCATCACTAACAATATCACGACTAAAGCAGCTGAATCATATACATGGCAAAAATTGTCTTGCCACTGCAAAAGCAGCCTCAAAAGTGGTATGTTCCACTTTCTGCAGCACAATCCACACTGAACAGCTCATCTGTCTCTCAATTATTCTCCTTTTTTCCAAATGCTGTTAGACTGTATTTTTGTTGTTATCTGTACATTCAGCAGAGGAATTATGAAAAGTGAATTTTCTTTCTTTCTTTTCTTTTCTTTTTTTTTTAAATCAGTGGAAATAAATAAGAGTACAGCTGATCTAGGCAACAGCTTGCGGGCCACCGGTGGCACTCATCCCATAGGTTCGCCATCACAGTTTTAGAAGACCTGCAAGGTTCCTTCCAGCTCTATTCTGATTGATTGATTCATTCATTGAGATGGATTTATTTATTTCCAGCCAATTTCTGCATGGAAGACATGGCTAAAGGTCCAAAGCTCAGGGAATCATCCAATCACTTCCCCTTTGATTTGTCCTACATGAAAACTACATGAAAACTGTAAGGCATGTAGTCTAGTAACTCAAGCATGAATAGGGCATTAGTGAGGGCAATGCAAAATTTCTGATACCTCAGAGCCTTGCAGCAAAACACTTTAATTTGGCTGTGAGTGAGTGGAATCTACTGGGCAGGGAGCAAATAGCAAAAACAATATTGTGGCCTTTACATAACATGTTTCAGCCCTCTTACTTGTGCATGTATGCAAAAGGCCGAGCTTGTGTCATAGTGCAATGCTGCTTTCATCATTTTTATGAAAGCTTCCAATTCTAAGGGTGCAGAATTAGTTACTCTGACTCCATATAATAAATAATTAAATAAGATGTCAACATAAAATGCCACATGGGACTTTGATAAGGCCATGTTTGGTTACTTGCTGGAATTATCACTCTTTTCTGTTGTCTCCGTAATGTGTTTTTTCATTCTGAGATTGTTTTGGATCGCAAACTATAATAGTCAATTGTTTTCTTGTAATTTCTTTCATTCTGAAGTTGTTTCTCTTATATTCTTGTTTTCTCATACCTAAATGACTAAAGGCTAGAGATCAATAATGACTTTTTCATAGTATGTAAGGCTAGACCTACAAAGCAGGCAATGACAGACATTTCTGAAAATCCTTGCCAAGTAAACTATAGGGACTTATCCAGGCAATCTTCAAGAATCAGGCACAATTGAACAGAATAAAGGCTAAATATTACAGTGCAAAGTCATCTTGCTATTATTGTGCCATCCAGATACTTAGAAAATTGACTCTTAATCTTTCATACATAAATATAGTTGTGGCAGTGCCATTCTATTAAATAATAGTATCATCATCCCTGACTGGACAATTATTCCTATCCATAGATTCTGCTTGTTTTGTTTGTTTTCAGGTTTTGTTTGTTTTCCGATAAAATGGGTCTGTACTTCTGTGATACTATTCTAAAACCAGAATTGGAATAATTCACACCTAGATAAGATTAGGAATAAGGATACATCCATAGCATAGATCAGGGATGTCAAACTGGATTTCTTCAAGGGACATATCAGCACTGTAATTCTGCTCCACCGGCCGGCAGGGGCGGGGAACAGAGGGATGGATGCCTCCTGCAGCACTTTATCAGCCAAAAACAGGCCGCGCAGAGGTCCCACAAGGCCTCCGCAAGGCCCATTTCCAGCTGGCAGAGTGCTGCTGGAAGCTGGGAAGGTTGAAAACAGGCCTCGGCGGGGCCTCACAGTCTAATTTTGGCCAGCAGAATGCTGTAGGAGACAGTGGAGGCTGAAAATGGGGCGCGGGGGGAACCGGCCCACAGACATTGAGTTTGACACCCCTGGCATAAACTGAAGTGAATTATTGAGTCCTGGACTACATTTTAATGCTTGGTAATATTAATAACTATGAGAGGGTTTGAGGTGTCCCAGTGGACCACCAATTATGTATGAGCCACCAATATGCTGCAGCTGCCAAAAAGGCCAATGTAGTCCTAGGCTGCATTAACAAAGAGATAGCATCAAGAGCACAATGTTTTATAATGCATTAGCATGGCCACACCTGGAATATGGTGTCCAGTTCTGGTCGCCACAATACAGAACAGATGCTGTGACCATAGCCTGAATGCAGAAAAGAGCAAAAAAGATGATCTGGAGGCTTAACTGTATGATGAATAGTTAAGGGAATTAGGCATGTTCATTATGTATGCATGTGCTTGCCTCCAGAACTTGTGGTACTCCATCACTGGAAGTTTACAAGAAGAGACTTGCCAGACATTTGCCTGAAATGGTCCCTCTCAACCTTATTTTTTCTATTTTCTACATTCTAGCCTATCAAGGAGAAGAATTAGGGGTGACATGATAGCTGTCTTCCAGTACTTAAGGGAATGTCACATAGAAGAAGGGATTGACTTATTCTCCAAAGCACCTGAAGGCAAGAAAAGAAACAATTGGTAGAAGATATTAAAGAGAGATCCAATCTGGAACTAAGGAGAAATTTCCTGAGAGTGAGAACAATTAAACACTGGAACAGCTTGTCTCCCAGAGTTGTGGTGCTCCATTTCTAGAAGTTTAAAAAAAAAAAAGATTGGACAGCCATTTGTCTGGGATGGTATAAGGACTCCAGCCTTGGGCAAGGGGTTGGACTAGAAGACCCCAAGGTCCCTTCCAGCCCTATGATTCTGTGAAATGCCTCCGAAGGTGGAGGTCCACTTTTTCCTTATTATATTCACAAGTATTTAATAAAAATGGATACAGCCTTTTTTCTGCAGAAATGATAGTTTGGTAACATGAACATATATCAACTCGTCAGCATGTAAACTTGTGATTAATGTTGGAGTTTGATATAAAATGGACAGCTATATAAATGTTGCAGAAGCCAATCTGGGTCAGTCACTGGGATCAGAGGTTTTGTCTGACCCAGATTGCATCCTGCAACATTATCCTAGGACATCACCTTTGTTGGTATATAAATGTTTTAAATAATAAAATAAAAGTAAAATTATAAAAGAATGGTAAATATTTTGCTTCTCATTTTTCCCATTGGAAATATTTATAGTATATAATTCATTTGGTTGATTTGATTGCCCATGTTTGAAATAAAATCAAAAACCCAAAATAAATAATTTCACAACTAAATAAAAACGTAATATTTGAATGAATATTATTAATATTATTAATAATATTAATATGAATTATTTTAATCTGAAAAACTAATTTTCTCTATATGTAATGACAGACTTTTCCTTTTTAGTAATTTCAAACAACATTGTTATAAATTAAAATGTTTCTTTTATATAAAAATGCATTTGTTATTTAATCCTTCATTTTTCATTTTTGCCAAGTATGTGAATATTGTATATATTGTAACTAGAAATACACAAACATAAAAACATTATATATGTATTTAATACTTTATTTAATTAAATGCATTTCATTCTGAATTTCTTGTGTCAAAATTTTGATAAAACTCAATTATTAACCAATACTTTTGCCACATGGCTATAGTTTAAGCAAAATTTAAAAGAAACCCCAAAAGAAACAATTCATTTGTAAAGCAAAAGTGATAATTTTAATAATAGGTAATGACTTTATCTTATCACATCTATTGATAAACAACACCTTTGTAGAAAACCTGTGTAAGTTTTAAAATTTTAAAAAAAGTATTCTGGAGTCATATTAACAAACCTCAGCTGATTAATAAGAAAAAAATAGTAAACATTTTGTTTAAACTCTACAAAACTTAGAAGACTGAACAATAATTTTTATTCATGTGAAACATATTGCTTACCCTTGATCACGTGCCCTGATTCGACTGTGGGTCAAAATCTTGTCATAATGAGCAGTGTAAGATTCTGCTAGATGAAAAACTGGCATGAAACAAATAGTGACTGTAGCAACCCACAGGAAGTCCATGTTTCTGTCTCTCTGTTTCTTGAGCGTCTGAGAAGAGAACTGGCAAAGACTCTAGAGAGCTCAAAGTTTATATCCAAGATGCAAGGCAGAGGGAGGAGAAAATATATCAACCTGAAACTTTGAACCACCCTCTGAGAAAGACGAACATCAGATGATTGTAACCATTTCTGTATGTATGTGAATTTCAAAGCAATCTATTCATTTTGACAGCTGCCATAAAATTAATTAGCGTTTAGATTTAACTAGAGTTTATAATGCAGAAAATTTAAAGATTCTGGATAGCCTCACAAGTTCAACTGACAATGTTTTTCCACACACTGATATATAAAATTACTGGATAAAGAACAATGAGTTACCGGGGTTTTTTAACATAGTTCTCTAGGAGATATGAGTCTTCATTCTGCCTATAGAAAGTAGAAATGCCACATTACTTTATAGTAGAAGCATTTTAATTCTCCTCATCCAGAAGGATCAAAACAAAGTTAGTGCTAGTAGTCGCCTTGATGTACTAATCAATGTACTTTTTCTATGTAAAATAACAAAGGAAAATATGATAGTTTAAGGGGAAGCATGCTATCTGGGAACCATCAGCTGAAATAGTTAATTTTAGGATAATTATTCAATATATTCATCCAAATTTGATAAAACACATGTTTTTATTAGTAATTCCAACAAGAGTAATAAATATTTAGCAATGTGTTGTAAACAGTTGTAAAAGATTATAATAATATTTACAATAAGTCAATGAAAAACTAGGAATACTGGTGCTCATAGTTTTCATAACTGAATCAAGACATTTCTAAATTGCTTAGGAACTGATTTCACAATTTCATATGGAGGCAGGAGTTGACCAAGCCAAGAGTTTTTCAAAACATCTGTTTCATGGAAATTTAGGGTTCCATAAAAGTCTCCTGGACAGTGGGTGGAGTTCATTTGAATGCAGCCAAATTTCTCATAGACTTTGAAATTTTTTCAGTACTTTAAGGGCTTACAATAATCTGTTTCACACAATAAACTAGCAACATAAAGTATATCTCTTCTATAGTTGAAGAAGCTTTGACTGTGATATGCATATAGAATCAGAATAATAGAATGACAAGTTGGAAGAGACCTTGGAGATCTTCTAGTCCTGTGATGGTGAACCTATGGTATGTGTGCCAGAAATGGCACACAGAGCCATCTCTCCAGGTTTGTGGAGTGGTCACCCATTGCTCTTCCAGGTTCTGGAGTGCTGGCCAGCTGGTCTTCATGTGTGCAGGAGCACCAGAAACCAAAAGAACAGCCACCTGGTGTGCATGTGCATGCCAGGAAGATGATTTTCTGGTTTCCGGTGAATGCATGTGTGCTGGCCATCTGGTCTTCCAGTTTCTGGTGTGAATGCATGCGCAAAGACCAGGTGGCTGATGCATTGGAACCCAGAAGAGCAAGAAGGACAGAGCTGGCAGCCATGATGGGCCATAGCTTCCCTCTTTCCCTGCCCAAGCATACTTCTTGAGCAGCCCTCCAGCCCACAGCACTGATGCAAGTCCGCAATCCAGAGTGCCTGGCCAGCTTGGGCACACAGGGCAGCAGGGCAGGGTTAGCTGGCTGGGCAGCCAGCTGCCCAACCCACTGCTCCTACCACTGCAAGGGGGAATTAGCAGTTCTCACGCTGCCACTACCAGCGAGGATGCTGGAGCAGCCAGAAGGAAAAGAAGGAGGAGCCACCATTGGGGAGGCGGGCTGCCCCAGGAGGGCCAGAGAAGAGCACAGCATGGAGAGACCAGTGAGGGGTAAGAGGCTAGGAAGCGACCGGACAGGGGAGGCTGCTCTAGTTTGTTCTCGGTGACAGGCTGGGGTGGATGCTTAATCCGAGAAGATCATCTGCTTTTCCAGTTTCTGGCATGCATGGGCAAGTGTGTGCACTCCCATTTCGGCACTTGGTGCCAAAAGGTTTGGCCAACACTGTTCTAGTCCAACCCCCTACTGAAGCAGGAGACCCTATACCATTTCAGACAAATAGATGTCCAATTTCCTCTTAAAAGTGATAGAGCACCCACAAATTCCGGAGGCAAGTCTTTTCACCAATTAATTGTTCTCACTGTCAGGAGTGTTCTCCTTAGTTCTAGGTTGGAACTCTCTTTAATAATCTCCTATCTGTTACTTCTTGTAGCATCCTAAAAATCATGCTCGGGCTTATTTTCTGGTTGGGTCTTGTTTTGTTTCTACTGTATTTAGAAAAAGGAGTCCATTCTATAAAGTAAAATATACTTTAATAATAGTATATTGTTAAAGGAAAGATAACAATAGAGATAAATTACCAATTCAATCACAAGTTTGATTTGTAATATCAATTTAGTGTGTTAGAAGGAAAGGCTTTCTTATAACATAGGCATCCTATTACAGGTAGTCCTCGACTTACAACAGTTCATTTAGTGACCATTCAAAGTTACAATGGCATTGAAAAAAGTGACATGATCCTTTTTCACACTTATAACCATTGCAGCATCCCCATGATCGTGCAATCAAAATTATGATTCTTAGAAATTGTAATATTTAGGATGGTTGCAGTGACTTAGGATCATGTGATCAACTTTTGTGACCTTCCAACAAACAAAGTCAATGGGAAAACCAGTTTCATTTAACAACCATGTTACTAACTCAATAACTGCAGTGATTCACTTAACAACCATAGCAAAGAAAGTCATAAAAAGGGCAAAACTCTGTCTCATTTAGCAACATAAATTTTGGGCTCAATTGTGGTTGTAAGTCGATTGCTACCTGTATATATTATGCATTGAATACTGAATGCAATTGTAATAATTTATAATTTACAGAACTTCCCTTTGTATGGAGTTTTGTTATGGACTCCATTTGGTGGCATGAGGTAATATAGTGGCGTTTAACAGATTTCTTTCTTGGATCTCTGTTAAGCCAGAGAGATTCATGAAACCAAATGGTTTGCTGATTCTCTTTCTTAGAGAGAACATAATTCAACAGCTGTTTTTTTTTTCAGATTATGATGTTTGACTGACTTTGAATCTGAGGGCAGGACAAGAAGTAACAGACGGAAGCTAAATAATCCAACCTAAAACTAAGGAGAAATTTCCTGTCAGTGAGAACAATTATTCAGTGGAACAACTTGCCTTCAGAAATTGTGGATGCTCCATCATGGAGGTCTTTAAGAACAGATTGGACAGCCACTTGTCTGAAAGAGTATAGGATCTCCTGCTTCAGCAGTTGTGGAGTGGTGGGGTGGGATACTAAAAGATCTCCAAACTCCCTTCCTGTTATTCTGTATTCTGTATTTACTGTGCTCAGTGGAAGATTCAAATGAATTGCAGCATATATATTTTTTGTTTGAGCTTTCTTAAACCAGGGAGAGTCCTGAAATAAAATGGTTTTCCTGCTTCACCTTCCCAAGAAGAACATGAATCAAAAGCTGTTTTTCAGACATGATGTTTGACTAACCTTGAATCTGCTTACAATGGAATTGTGCCTTCACTATAAGACACTTCATAGATGTTGCTAACATAACAACTCTCTAGAATGTCATGTCACACCGTCATAGATTGGTTTCTTATGAGGTGAAAATTATGGAAACAAACATTGCTAGCTAACAAAGGCAGGTTGGAAATGAAATATATTTTACTACTGTCTCTCACTGAACAAAGCACAACTTGTTTGAATTTCAAAAACGCTGTCTTGGTCCCTTCAGTATATCAAGCTAAAATCAAATCCATGAATGAATATATCTTTGTATTAAGAACACCTTCGTTATAAGAAATCCACACATTATTCACATATTAGAATCTTCATTAAAAAGAAGAAAAGAGAATCCACAGGTTCCATCTTAAAAGAATAAAAAAGTTGCAGCGCTGTTGGATTGCCCTCTTGTGGTGAGAGAAAAGGGAAACTACTATATGGGAAAGAGGAACATTCTAGTCACAGTATTGAATCTGGGTGAGTCACCAGGACCAGAGATATTCTGTCTGGCCATCTTTTGCATTGGAACGATGCAATATAAATAATCAGTGAGTCAATATAAATCATAGGTGAGAAAGAAAGTAAACAGAACAGATGTCTATGGAGAATCTCAATCATCCAGGTCATGGTTATCCCAAAAGTGCTTTTCAAAGGCAACTGGAATCCTCCCCCACCCTCCACCACCCCCCCGGAAAATGTTTGTTTCTCATCCAAGAAGCCTCTTCAGTTCTGAATTAGATGATTAGATGGATGAGAACGTTTTCGAGGAAAAAATAAAGAAAGTCCAGTTTCTCTTTGAAAAGCACCTTTGGAATGTCAGAAGTATAATGTGGGTTCCAACTCAAGTTGGGGTTGCATAAGAATAACTAAAAATGAGATCCAGGCAGATGTGAAGAAAGAAGAAATATTTATTCCTAAAAGCAAACTGTTTGCCTTTAGGGACAGCTGCAGAGAAATGGGGCACAGCCAAAAGAGCTATATAGGGAAGCTTGTCCTGGGTGTGGAAGTTTCTGCATGCTGATTCTAGTGTGACACTTGATATGTATGTTTGTGTGTGTGTGTGTGTTTGTGTGTGTGTTTGTGTAAGTATGTCTATGATGTTTATTCTTGTGAACATGCAGTTCTGCTGGGAGACCTAATTTAATTAATTCTATTTGTGTTTGCAGAACTTATTGTTTTATAGGTGGATTAGGTCTGGATAACTTACAAGTAGTCCTTGACAGTTCATTTAGTGACAAGTCAAAGTTACAATGGCACTGGAAAAACTGACTTATGATCATTTTCACACATACAAACATTGCAGTATCCCCATGGTCATGTGATCAAAATTCAAACATTTGGCAACTGACTCATACTTATGACAGTCACAGTCATATGATCCCCTTTTCCAACCTTCCAACAACCAAAGTCAATGGGGAAGCCAGATTCATTTAACAACCATTTTACTAGCTGAGTTGGTCAAACAGCTCCGGAAGACCCGCTAGTGACTGGCTCTGCAATGGCAGCAAGAGACTCCTGATCGCTGGACTCAGGAGGCCTCATCACTCTCCATTTGAAGGCCTGGGCGCTCTGCT